AGATGTTTTAGAGATGGGGTAGTGCAGAGGCTTGGATGTAGGAAACCAAGTTCCAAAGCAAGCTTTCAATTAACAGGCTGCACAAGGACCACATCCCATGCCATGGGACTAATTACTGATAAATGAAAGCATCAGCTGCATTACATGATCACCAACTTGCCCAATCTCCTCCCCAATCTGGCAGTTGGTAGTCTGCAAGTAATACATTAATTTACAACATTGTGGGTGTGTAAAGTGCTGTCAAGTCACAGCCAACTTAGTAATGGGCTTTCAAGACAAGTGAGAAAAAGAGGTGATTTACTATTGCCTGCCTTTGCAGAGTCTTCCTGGGTGGTCTTCCTTGAGGGTCATCATTTGGCCAACATATTTTTACATTTAAGGTTAGGTTTGCACCCTGCCATCCCCCCCCCCCATATTTAGCACATTTTTAAATTCTAGAATTCAGCAGAAGGGCCAGATTTCTTTCCAATAATAAATACTGACCACTTCATCAGAAAACTGCCTTACTAAGGTACTGTCTTCTATGATACTCAGTACTTAATGTATTTGCCACAGTTGACATCATAGGGTTGCCAGACCACCATTTTGCACCCTGGGAATTTTGGGGACGGGGCAAGAAGCATACGTGATGTTGTACGATGCACTGATGACAACAGCCAACATTCTGGACTTCTCCCAAAACTGTAAGGGGATATTCCAGAGTGTTGGCTGATGTGCTAAATGTCATGTACAGGTTTTTGCCCAGCTATGACATCAACAAACTGCATGGTGTTATTCCCAACCCCTACCTCCCAGTTCTCCTGCCAGCCTAGAAGCAAGGACTAGTGGAAGTGCCAGACAGACAGGGGTTTAAGGCTAGGTCATGAACAGTAGTCAATATTGAAAAAAAGTCAATGTGTTAAAGAAAATCAAAACACAGCTCTAATCATACCTCAACCGCTAACATTTTTAAATGGGTGTTTCAATTTCAGTATTAGTTATTAAAAAGTCATGAGAACTATAAAGTTATTCTGAGGTTTACTCTGGCTTCAGGGGTAGTTAAATTACTACTCTCTACCTGAACATCAGAAAGTGCACTATTGGCAGAAACAACATGTAAAGGTTGTTTATTAAGAAAGTTTCTGCGGTTGCTCTGGGCCTGGAACACTACAGAGTTCAGCCTGCAAGCAGCCTATCTGTAGTCCTATGTACAGTTCTTTGGAACTTATATCTGAACAAAGAATCACAGGGAGATGAGCTACAAATGGGGTCACTCAAGACCAATATTAGGGCCTGTACTATTTAATTCGTTCAGGAATAATACAGAATCAATAGTGAGCATTAAAGTGGCCAAATATGCAGCTGACACAGGTTCAGGACGGTGAAAACCAAAGGAGATTGTGAAGAGCTCCAACAGGATTTCTCTGGACTGGGTGACAAAGGGATTGAATGCACACAGGTGTAAAATGATGCACACTGGGACAAAAAAATCCTTAACTGGGGCCTAAAGTAATGGTGGGTGACTCTGTACAACAATAATTAAAACAGGACAAAACCTGCAGTAGGGACTGAAAACTGGTATCTTAATGTGCTAGAGTGGCAGCATTTGGAATATGGTGTAGTGTTCTGGTGATCCCATTTCCAAAAGGATATTTCAGCACTGGAAAAGGTGCAGAAAAGGGCAACCCAAATGATCAAAGCATTGAAGCATCTTTCCCTTAAGGAAAGTATAAAGATTTGTTTTTTTCAAAATTGCCTTTTTAAAAAACAAGAGGGGGAACATGCTGGAACCTGGGACACTTTGTCACATGAATTTACTTGAGGAATTCACTGCCACTAACTATAACCAGTAACAATAAGTTGTTTAAAAATATATTAGACAAACTCATTAGAGGGGTCCATCAATGGTTGTTAACCATGGAAACCTCAGAATACCAGGGTGTGTGTGGAGGAGGGGGCAACAACAGGGAACGGCATCAGCCTCTGCATCCCTTCTGTAGGCTTTTCTGGGCATCAGGTGATCCACTGGGGAACCAGGATGCAGTACACTCCAGCCAGTCTTTCATGTTCTTAAGATGTCTTCAGAGAATACAAAATACTCGACAGGATTTTGTTGGGTGGTTTAGGATAGAGCCAGATTGCATTGCTGGGATAATTAAGATCAGCAGCAGCTCCATTAACCAGAGTGATGGGAATATCACAGCTCTCAAGTCAGGATGTCATCTGAATTTACTTTTCATACGGGTCAACATTTTTACAATAGAAACATTTTGATTAACAGGATACAATCCTCTTCCAAATCTTCAACAAGCATAGTGAGCTTAGCTCTGAGGCTTGCTCCATTAAGGCGACAATTTTGCCCAAAATGTATGGTATCAGATTGATCTAATTTCTGTGCACTGAGGGCGAGCAAGTCCTAGGTTACAAACTGAACTCTCCAATGCAAGAACAAGATGCATTTCTTCCTTTAGGAGGTGCTATTGTCACAAGAAAAGAAAAAGGTTTCAGTTTTGTTTTTGCATGTGGGTGGGTATTCTGTTTGTAATAATTGTTTGGATACACTATATTTTTAATACTTTAATACTAACATATTTTTAATATTTTTAATTAAAAATGTCCATAGTCATATTTTATGTTCCTAAAGAAACAGAATGACTTTCAATCTGGAAAAGAAAAAAGAAGTGCTAATGTAGCATTTTTTTCAATTTTTCCAGAAATTTCCATTTTTTCTGGAAAAAAATGAGGAAAAAAATCTGGATTTTTTCCCAAGCTTCAAAATTGCTGGAAATTTTACATCTCTACTCCAGACCCATCAGAAGCCTTTTGATACAATAAAACTAAGTGTTTACATAATATGTTCAGTGCATTTGTACCTCAAAGTGATGAACATTACATTGAGTAATTAGATTATGATGTTTGGTTATTTCTAAAAAGCTGGATTTTTAGCAGAAGAGATCCTGTTTAATCTTTTGAATCAGGTAGCGCCCCCCCCCCCCTAGAAATACCTACTATGCCAAGATATAGCAAGCATTCCATGAAAGCAAATATGAGATTACAAAAAGGTGTTGGGTACGGGACAAAAAGAATTACAAAATCAAACAGACCTCAAGGGTTGTTAGTTTACTAGTGAGAAAAAAGTCTACCTGAGGATGGAAAAATTTCAAAGATTCCATAGTAGGCATCTGCTACAAAAAGGGTGTTCTTTGGTCCCACACGGATTCCAAGAGGTCTACCACATGTGACTTCATCTCTGCCAGTTCCTTTTAAGACACATTAGCAGGTTCAAAACAGCTTGTGTGTAAACATTAAATTTTGCTTCAGAAAAGAAAGCCAACAGTCTAGTATTTAAACTTAGAAAGACAAAAAAAGCAAAAGACAAGATTTTGGAAGAACACTTAGCAACAGCTTTTGTTTACAAACCCAGTGAAGTGTTCACACCTACAAACTGACTTTCATGTGTGCTTTTCCTATTAACACAAGTTATTCTTTTTCACAAATGAAAGTGTACACACAGAATCAGCTGATGTTTAAAGCTGTAAGTTCACAGTGCCCTCTACTGCCTGCTCTAAAGACTGGCTTCAACACCAGCTGCCAAGGAGAAGTATTAAAGCCTGACTGATGATCTTAATCTTCATCTTTCTTCAAGCTATCCATTGTCAGTGGAGCCACATGTATTCAAATACAAAATGACTTGCAGAAGATTAATTCCCTTCATGTCAGTCATCTTCTTGCTTCATATTTACTGAATTCACAAGGCATGGTGTAAGAAAAGCACAAGCACAGCCCATGAGTTTCATTTAAGAATTTTTTCCCCTACTTTGCAGAGCAGCATTTCTCAACTGAATAATGACAGTTACCTGACTCATTCTGCAATACACAGGGAAGCTGCACCTCTGGCACCCTAATCTTTTAGGCACATCCATATGCTAGGATGACAATATCAACACAAACTAAGAAAATAGAAAGTTATGCAGGAAAACCAATTAAGGAATCAAATAATGAATATTATTAAAGAAATTGTGCTATACTAGATATGAATGCAAAGCTAGATGCTGGAAAGCGGCACAGACTTCTCCATGCCAGTCACTGATATCCCATTTTTTCTGGTGTTAAATTTTCCTACATTGTAAAGTTAAAACAAAAAAGAAAGTCTACAGGTAGCACTGCAACAGAATGAGAGGCATATTATTCTACACATTAGATAGGAAAAACCATTATAATAGTGGGGTCAAAAGACAATGATAAATGCATGTGATACAAATGTATTACATATCTGTTATAGGCTCAATTGTATATAATTGAGGGGTTCTCAATCCCAGTTGGGACCCAAACGGGGACTACAACTCTCTCACAAGGCCCAGATGAGGCAGCTTAGTAGAAACAACTTAAGAGAAGCCATGATGGATTAGGCCAATGGCTCATCCAATCCCACACTCTATATCACACAGTGGTCAATTCAGGTGCCATCAGGAGGTTCACCAGCGAAGCCAGAACTCCAGAAGCCCTCCCACTGTTGCCCCCCGCAAGCACCAAGAACACAGAGCTACATATTTAATACTAAATGTGAAAAACAAACTAGTTCAGTGTTCACTGATGCAAGATTCCTGTGTTTTTCACCGAGAAGGGTGAAAATACTGTGGAATTACTTCGCAAAAAAGCCCTGAAAGCTACAGTGATAGAAATGGAACCCCCAAAGTGTACTTATGGATTAAAAACTGATTAAATGACAGGAACCTGAGTGTAGGTGTAAGTGGATAGTTTTTGTGATGGAAGGAAGTAAACAGCAAGGTCCCACAAGGATCAGCATTGGGACTGGTGCTATTTAATTTGTTTATAAATCGTTTGGAACTGGGGATGAACAGCATAGTGGCCAAGTTTGTGCATGATACCAAATTATTTAGGATGGTGAAAATTAAGGTGGCTTATGTATCCGAGAATCTCTCTAAATTGGGTGAGTGGGCAACAACATGGCACATGAAGTTCAAGACTGGTAAATGTAAGGTGATGCACACTGGAACAAAGCATTCTAACTTTAAACATATGCTTATGGGGTCTGAACTACAGAATATCAAGACTGAAAGAGATTTGGGGATTGTCGTAGATAGCTCAATGAAAATGCTGACTCAGTGTGTGGCAGCACTGAAAAAGGCAAACTTCACGCTGGGGATAATTACAAAAGAGATTGAGAATAAAATGGCCAGTACTGTAATGCCCTTGTGCAGAGGTATGGTGTCGCTTCATCTGGAATACTGCATGTAGTTCTGGTCATTGTATCTCAAAAATGATAGCACAGGCAGATGCAGCACTGGAATTTGGAGTCTGCTGGGGACAGGCTTGGCTACTCTTCCCAGATTGTTGGGTCCTCCTGGGCATCTAGTCTGTCCTTGTATGAAACAAGATGTTGGATTAGATGGACCACTGGCCTGATTCAGTTTAGAAGAAAGCCCCACTTCATAAAATTTGATGATTAATGGTATACAAACTAAACTAACTCCATATCAGTAATATGATAAGAATTCACTGGCTTGGATCCTTCCATCCATGAAATGCCATTCCCTGCCTCCACACTCCTGTTAAAGCCTGAAACATCCCTCAAATGCTGCTCCTAAAAGATGGGAGCCCCCCAGAAATAGCCTGGAGGGGGAATCAGAGGTCTGCTGCCATAGGGGAGAATTAACAAAAATCTCACTCTGTCTCACAAACATACACACACTCTGGTGTGGGCAGAAATTTTAGGTGCTATCTAACTCATACTGGTTAAAATTCTTATATACAAATGAATCTTACATTTCACCTTGCCTTTTGAACTTTAATTTTCTCCCCTCTGTATGTGGATATCCATGGAGGGCACATTGCACGTAACTGATGACATGGATCTCATCCGTGAAAGCTTGTGTCACAATGTATCTGTTAGACAAGGTGCCACAAGACTCCACTGTGGTTTTCATGCAGCTCAGCTACCTTTTGTTAAAAAGCAGCAGTGTATATTTTCACACAGTTAGCTTTTCAATCTATTAGAAAGAGGGGTCAATGTACAGAAAGGACAGAACAAGAGTAAAAAGCAACTGGCTAATCACTATAAGATACAGCAAAAAGTATAAGCAACTGTCAAAACAAGTTGTATTCTGTTACCACAGGGACCGTGGCCAAGCCGAGCTATGGTTTCTATTTGCCCATCTTCAATCTTCAGAATTTTTCCATCAGCAGTACCAGTGAACAGAACATCTGAAAAAGAGAAGTGGTAATATAAGCCTGTTTACATAGTTTACTATGTAGAACAATGGTTTACCTCATTTTTCTGTGGTCGGGGACAGAGGGTAGTGCTAGGGGATAGGATGTCACCTGGGTACCCCCTGATGTGTTGGGTTCCCCAGAGAGTAGTCCTCTCACAGATGTTCACCCCAGCTAGTTCAGAGTTTTGGGCTGGGGTGCCACCAGTATGCTGATGACACCCAGCTATATCTGCTACTGGATGGCCACCCAGATACTGCTCCTGACAATCTGGCTGAGGGTCTGGAGGCCATGGTGGGTAGTTAAAAAGTAGTAGGCTGAGACTAAATCTGGTACAGATGAAGCTTCTGTGGCGGGGGGGCTCTGGAGGTGGGGGGAAGACTTCCCACTCTTGATAGGATGCCATTGGTACTGACACCATCCATCAGGAGTTTGAGCATGACTCTGAATGCCTCCTTAACTATGGAGGTCCAGGTCACAAATATTTATGTATTAATTATTTATTTATTTCACTTTTACCCCGCCCTCCCCGCTAGGCAGGCTCAGGGCGGCTTCCAAGAACTGACAAGCAGTATACATTCACAATAAAATATAAAACATCAGTTAAAACACAACCAGTCAATATTGCCAGGTCGGTGTTTTTCCATCTATGCCAAGCTTTGCAATTAGCCCCTTTCCTGTTGCGCCCCAACCTAACCACTGTAATCCATGCAACGGTCATCTCCACTCGCTCTATGCTGGCCTACCCTTGAGACTGATCCAGAAGCTTCAGATGGTCCAGAATGCAGCAGTGTGAGTCCTGATGGGAAGACCACAGATGGCACATACCACCTGTGCTGAGCCAGTAGTTAGGTTCAAGGTTTTGGTGTTGACCTTTAAGGCCTTGAGTGGTCTAGGACCTGCATATCTTCAGGACCGCCTCCTCTGGTATGTCCTGAAGAGAGCATTACACTCTGCTAACAATAATCTACTATGGTCCCTGGCCCTAAAGACATCTGGCTGCCCTCAATCAGAGCCAGGGCTTTTTCGGCCCTGGCTCCAACCTGGTGGAACTCTCTGCCAAATACCACCAGGGCCCTGAAGGACTTAATGCAATTCCGCAGGGCCTGTAAGGCAGAGATGTTCCACCAGGCTTTTGGTTGAGGACAGCAATGTTCCATTATAGCCGGCACCCTCCTCTCCTCTGTCTTTCCCCCATCTTCACTTCAGCCCTCTCCTCACCTGCCCACGAGACAGCAACACAGTCCATAGTAGGGTAACAAAGGAATGTTTGATGCCATCTGAGATAACGTAGCCAATGTTCAGGTTTTGCTTTTAATTTTAACAGTTATACAACACCTAAGGCCTTACATTGCGGGGAACAGGGGATTCATAAATTGAATATATAAATAAATTCAAAAAATAAACTTCAAATTATGCAGGACACTGGAAACATCAAACTGCACACTGTTCCTCCACAACATTCTTTCTACGAACAATAAGGTCAACTGCAGATCATGTCTATGACAGATTATTGTGCATAATCAAGAAAAATACAGATATCATTCAAATGATTCTGAATGATCTGTCTTTTCCTGATTAGATCTGAATTCTACATGTTGTTGTTGTTCAGTTGCACAGTCGAGTCCAACTCTTCATGACCCCATGGACCACATCACGCCAGGGCCTCCTGTCTTCCGTCGTGTTTCGGAGTTTGCATATTTCTACATAATTACATTTAATTCTGCTTCCTGCATTTCATGGGCCCCTGAACTTGCTGTTCTTTTTTTACATAAGAAACAAGCCTCTTAAAAAGAAATACAGTGAAGAGTCAGTCACAGCACCTGAAGAAGTGGGTTCCAGTCCCCCGTAGCTCATGTCATAATAAAATGGTGACGGATGGATCCTATGATTCCCTTCTACTAAGTTGTGATGATTCCTTGTTTGAGAGTGTGTGAGTACCTTTAAATGTTTGATAGTAACTAGCGTGCCGTGATTGCTGGATGGCAGTGTGTGGGAGGAGTTATTCTGTGTGGATCTGTGTGGGTGTGTCAGGGAGAGATTGGGGAAAGACAGTTGGAATAATGACAGTTGAGGAAAAAGCAGTTGATGTTGTACAGTGGAATTTCAGTCAGTGAGACCTCTGACAATGCTGTGTGGAGTCAGAGAGTGAGAGAGACTAAAGAATCTGTGTGGGATCCGAGAAGGATCAGTATATAGGTGTTAAAGTGATACAGTTGACAAGTTCATTTACAGAAACCTTATTCCCAACCAGTTAAATAATTACCAACTTCTTATTTTGTTCCCTTTTCAATAAATCCTATTTTATTTAAATATACCCCAGAATTCAAATCAATTCTTTCTCTGGACCACAATAGATCCCTGAAAAGCCTTGAGCCTGTGTTACCCTACCAATAAGAGAAACAGACGGTTTGGAAATCCTTAAATTCCTGGTGGCAGCTGAATCTATCCAGTTTTACAGAAATAAAGAGCACATTTAGAGAAATACAGTCCTCCCTAATAGGAGGTTGTCACATAAGTCTTCCACTGAGAACAAGTCTTCTCTGTTGGAAGAATGTCTCCATCAAAAAGCCATTCTTTTTTCCCTTTGAAGGAAGACTTAACAGAAGAAAGTCATAGGATCTAACTCTTGTCTTTAAGGTGCCATAAAACCATTTTTTAAAACTCAACAATAAGGTTCTAGTATATGCAGAAGAAGGAGCTGCGGTGGCTCAAGTGGTTAAGACGCTGAACTGCAGGCTTTGGAAGGTCGGTAGTTCAGCAGTTCGAGACCTGAATTGCTGCATGACGGAGTGAGCTCCCGTCTCTAGTTCCAGCTCCTGCCAACCTAGCAGTTTGAAAGCAAGAAATTGCAAGTAGATAAATAGGTACCACTTCAGTGGGAAGGTAACAGCGTTCCGTGCGCCTTGGTGTTTAGTCATGCTGGCCACATGACCACGGAAACGTCTTCGGACAGCGCTGGCTCTTCGGCTTTGAAACGGAGATGAGCACCACAACCCTAGAGTCGGATTCGACTGGCTTTCGAGCAAGGGAACTGTCATGATCTGGGCTGTGCCACTAGAGGCCTACTAGGCCCAAGGAGCCTGGCTAGCAGTAGGTGAGGCTGGGCCTACAACTCCCAGAAGCCCCTTGGAGGTTATGGAGCCAAAATGGACCAATAGGAAAAGAGGAGGGCTGGGAATAAAAGTTCTGGAGCAGCAGGAAGAGCTGTTCATTCTTCCAGAGGGCAGAGGCAGAAAGAAGGCTGCTGCAGGGGAAAAACCCTCATCCTGAGGGAGGGGTGAGTAGTGTAAGGCCACTTGAGATAGTGAGCTAGGGAAAGTAAATTCAGACGCGTTAGGGCATTTGATTTCTTTTCTTTTCACCCACTTACTGTTATTATTCTGTCCCTTGTTGTTTGACCTCCTCTAAAATAAACCCTTTCCTTGTTTTACTCTGCCTGGTCCTCACGCCTGTTATTCGGCCTAAAGGGAGGTCTGAAGGTCTTGGGAGGGTGCTCTGGGCCTTCTCAAGGGAACCTAAATCCAGAGTGGTGGCAGCATCAGGTGACACCCCACCTGAGCCATGACAGGAACCTTTACCTTTATCTTATATGCAGAAGATAACTTTTATTCATAACTGTGACTAACTGACCTCCAAAACCAGGATGCTTAGTGCATCAGATTCAGAGAGCTGAGAGATTAGGGGTGAATGCCGCACAATTTGATTGACAGGCTGCTGCCTGCATGCACTCCCCCTTTTCTCTGATTGGTCAGCGCCAGCTGAGGAGAGCTTTCAAAAGTCTTGTCAGAGAGTCAGTTGTTGTTTGGACTTCGGCTTGGCAATTGCCAGTCAGGAGGAGTGTGTGTGTGTGTCAGTCTGAGGGAAACAGACAAATCACTTGAGAAGTGAAGGGACACTACTCCTTGCCCTTACAGGGTGCGGTCAGACGGCGTGCCGAAGCGGTTTAAACTGCTCCGATTCTGTCCGGACTATATTTGATCCGGGACAAGCGCCTCTCTCACCGTGCAGCACATTGCTCCAGGGTGTCCACACTACAGGCACACAGTAGCGTGCGTCGGCATTAAAAAAAATTTTTTTCACAGTTTGCGCATGCACAGAACAACGTATCCCGCCAAAGCATGCCCTGAAGCGAACACTTCCCTTTAAACTTTTAAACCGAAACTGGCCTCCGTGAAGTCCCAGACTCGTCTAAAGGCTAAAACTAGGCACCGTTTTAACTTTGGTTTTATTAACACCGGGGCGAAGCTCCGCCCAAGCACATATCGTTGACGCTAAAATTTTTAATAGTAGGCAAAAAGCGGAAGCCTCGGGCAGCTTTCAAGCGGGGAAAAGGAAGTGGCTCTACACCGGCGGAGGAGCGATCACACAGGGGGGAAATGCAGCTGGAACCAGAGCAGCAGGAAAACACCACCTGGGGACTTGGTAGCAAAATACTCTGCTTTAAAGGTGGTTTGGGAACGGTTGGGGATGGGAGGCAAATGTTGGCTGTGTGATCGCCCGTATAAAGTCAGTTTCTAACCGGCACGTATACCGGATCAAATGGCCCGTCTGAACGCACCCACAGTGTATCATCACATCTGAGGAAAAGTTCAGAAATCAGAACTAAAGTCTACGTGTCAGCCTTAGCTGAATTCTTTATTCATAGTCTCCAAAACTGGAGTTTAGGTTTGACAGAACAGGCTGGACAGGAGACTGAAAATTGCCAGTCTAGCCAAACAGAAAAGGATTATCACTCCTAGAAAGAGGAGAATATTTCTTACCCAGGTTCAACTCAGAGGGACCCCTGGTTTGTGTGAAAAGGGAAATGGTTTTAGACTCCTCAAAAGTCTAAAAGGGAAAGTTATAATCCCATAAGGAAAGTATTTAAATACAGGGAGAAAGTACTAATTTCCAGGAAACTAAAATAGTTTTATGAAACTTTATTAAGACACATTGTTGCTGAAAGAAATCTCCAAGATAAACAAATCTCTCACAGTTAAGAACTGAGTCTCTAAGAATATAAACTCCAACTATACTCTGTTGCCTGTTCAAAATATTATATGTTGCATACAGAACCAAATTTACTTCAACTTCTCATCCCCTGCCCTATTCCTTACTCAACTGTGCCTGTTCAATAAAATCAACCTTTCTGTTTGAACTTTACTTCGTGTCAAGTGCCATTTCTAAAGGGATTCATAAGAGAGCTCCTGCTGCATTACAATAACTCTCTGGCCTGGGCAAAAGCCAAATAACTTCTCTATCACAGGGTGGGACATGCAGAAAGATAATTCTGTAATTCAAATACGCTACTAAGAAGCTGTTCAGTCAAAGTGGGGAACAGTGTTTTGGCAGGGAAATCTGCCTCACATAGAGAGAAGAAGCAGGGGTCCCTCATAATAACATATTTCTATGTTAATGAACTTTCAGTAAATAAGGGTATCCAAAATGGACCACACTGACCTTCCGTTAGGACAGATTTCTAATATCAGGAAAGACATCTATCATCAGATATGAAATTACATTCTCATATTGTCCTGGCTTATATAGCTGTGTTGCACAATTTACATGGAATTCCACATGGTATGTAGAATATATCTATTTTATAGGCCTTGCTTCATTAGTTAGCACAAGTTAGCCTGAATTAGTCATGGAATCCACTTATGGCTTCCTGTAATAACAGGCCTTTTAAAATTTCCTTGAGAAATTTATCCAACTTGCACCAGCCAGCTATATTAATAGTGTATGTTTGTCAGCATAAATCCCAGGAAAAAGAATGCTAACACTGAAATTGACCTGTACCAAGCCATCACAGTTTGCAAAAGTATCACTGTCTTGGAGCTGCATTACAGTGGAAATCTGTAGCAGTCATCTGAGGCATCTTGCTTTCAGACCATTACCTCAGCCAGAACAGAAGGCAATGAGAGGAGTTTTTTTAATGGCTTGAGAGAAGAGTGGATGGATTAGCAGAACAAAATGCAGAGAAGGTACAGGAAGCAAAAAAAAAAGGCTAAAAGGGAGGTCTAGCATAGAGTGTTCTTGAACAAGTCTGTGGTCATATTCTAGGCAGGAAATGAACTGAAGAGTGGGCGACCTCCACCAGTGCCCCCTTGACTCATTGGTGGGGATCATCCATGTTAAGATGCCCTTCCCCTAAGAATGAGAAAGATCTCTGCACTAGACTGTGGAAACCAATGATATTTGATGTAGCCCTGTGTTGTCTTCATTAACCAAACATCTAATTATGCTCCTAGCGACTTCATAAATTCAAAATAAAGGGGTAATCTAATACAAAATTCTTAACTGATCTTATATGTCCTAAAATGGAGCTGATTTCATTGTGATGTAGTTACACTTGTTTTTTATTCCACCACTTAGAGAAGGTACAATTCTTTGAGAAATCTTCAGATCACACAACAATTTAGATAGATGCTAAAGACACACGTATTAACTACTGAGTTATGCTTACATCAAATTAACTAAAGGAATTATGGTCACTGATTCTTACTAAGAATAATTTGGAGAAAACACAAGGTCCAGAAGGGGACTGCTGTGGTTACAAAAGGTCTAGATATGTGTTGGCCTTGTAATCCATGGAATTTGAGTCAAACAGAGCCCTTCATAATTCAGAATGCAAGCATTAATAAAGTCCTTAAGTGTGAAGCAATCAAATAAACAGCCACTTGAAATCCTCACTCTGTGCTTACCACCAATATTTGCAATGGATTCTGGTCCAACAAGCTGGTTTTCAAACAGCCTTTCTGCTTGTCGGAGCTTAAAGTTTGGCTCCAATGCACCGGATAAGGGAGGCGGTTCTTTGAAGCTGGAAAACAGAGGAAAATGCATGCTTTTATTGAGTGTGTATAAAGAGTACTCTTGAGTAACAAGTGGAACATTTTTTCCAGTTTGCCAACCAAGTTGCAAGCATCAGATGTGATTTCAAAACAGCATACTTTGTTTTCCTAAATAGCAATTGCTTACTGTTTAATATGGAGGTGCATCAGCTTTAGGAATAGAGCACCAGCAGCTTGAAGCAAGTTTACACAGGGGGGTCCTTAACCTTTAATAACTGAAATACCTGTTAATTACACATTGCCATTCCTGGAGAACAGGGAATTGTTCTAGTAAACAGAAGTTCATCAGCACACAGAAGTCAATGTATGCCACGTCGCACCATGAAGAACAAAAGGCTTTCTAAAAAACTTCAAATAACTTAACAAAACTAATTCCAACATACATAAAATCAAATAGAACCACAACAAATGTAACAGAAAGCTATGGACATGCTGTTAAAGTCCTATGTTCAGTAAAACAAGCAAATAAAATACACTGAGGAACAAAATACATAATTCTTAAAGTACACTTCTTAGTTCTGCACATGCTTTAAGTTGCTATGGTATATATGTCAACTCACAACCTTGTTTACAAGGTGACATACAGAAAAAAATACCTGCATTAGTGTACTTAAAACTGTGTATGAGTGCGTATCTATCTCTATGGGTGGGGGGAGGCTCAATACTAAAAAAATATTGTCTTGAAATTCCCTTCAAGGTCTGCTACTAACTGATTTACTAAGCCAAGAATTCCAGGTTCTGCAAGCACATTTAATTCAAGGGTTCAAATCAAGCACACAAATGAGAAACCTTCAACATGTACTCAGTCCTGTAACTGATTTTTAAGTTCACCTCCACCACAACACTGCAAGATAACTGGAGAAGTTTTGATCACACCAGTAGCTTGAAGTATTTGGTACACTTAGTCCAGAAATCGTTTAGATTCTGAATATTTATCCCACAAAATCTTTGCATTGTCATGTCACATAACTATAAAACTGGTTTTAGATAACAGTTCAATTTATATTAAATCCCAGACTGTTTTTAAAAACAGGTTTAGAAAAATTATTTGCTACAAGGCAGGTTAACAACAAGTATGACTTTAACACATCAACAGCATCCAGTTTACACAATTCATTGCTAACTGATTTTTAGAAGTGTAGGCATTAAGTGGGTTTGTAACCACAACCATCCTCTTGGGAAGGATGTTAAATAATAACAGCATACATCTTGTGCCTCAGTACACTTATTACTAAATTTCAAGACAGCTTGTCTAAGTTAAATGACAGAACTTTAATTCAGTGCCTTCATATTACCTGATTTAATTAACAAAATGCAATACTTCAAGCTTTAGTTGGCCAAAGAATATTTCAAATGGTAGGCCCTGTACAGGGATTTGCCCACCCAAGCCAGTCCAGGAATGGGAGGGAATCCAGTACATTTCAGTACATTAAACAACAAACCAGGAGATGATCTATATCCTCTCTGGTTTTCAGAACAATATGCCACCAGAACCTCTTTTCACTAGTCCCTGCCTTTCCTAAGGGAGAGATTCCAAACCCTTAGTTAGCAGCTGGGATTTAACACACTAGCAACTCAATCTAGCGATGCACACTTTTACTCTCCAATGGTAGCGTATATGGGAAGCGTTTAGGCCACAGGATTTAGCCTTGGAATTCAGTTACAACATCAAAAACAATTTAGCAACAAAAGGATCTTTATTCAGTACAGAGCACAGCAACAGACTACCAGAGATTACAAAAATAACAAAGGCTAGGGCTGTTTTGCCTTAACTAAATGTTAATGATTCATAGTTACCACGTCAGGAGGATTCCTCAGTCCAAGATAGTCCAAGTACCAGGGGATTTTGATGAGAAATCCCATTTTTGCACACCATGTGCTCCACGTCACAAAGCAGCTCTTTGTCTCTCAAGAGGCAGCATTTCAGGTGCCATAAAACAACTGACAGAGGAGGAAGGGAGAGCTAAGCAAGAGCTCATTCCCATAGGGATCAGAACAATTATACTCCAATTCCAGTCACAAATTAGATGTGGTCATCAGCCAACTGCAAGTGGGCATGGGTGTGCCCAATTATTGGTTGCGATAGCTACGTATGGGGATAGGCTATAAGTTTGGGAACCCGCCTGCAGTCATCTGACCCCAAATTCCAGCTACTTCATGGTCTACGTGACTAGTCGCATGTGGGCCAGAAAGTGTAGCCATGAGGTCTGGCATTTGGCATGAAAGTGTGAAAGAATGTGGGTTTATGGCATGGCTATTGAGGCCATGTGGCCCCCACCATTTGGCTTGAAACAGGAAACAAGACACAGCATGTTATCAAAGGACATAACAGGAGAAGGCATGTGAATATAGAAGCAATATTTCTATACAGGCCCCCAGTGGCAAAACTTGGTAGAATAGCAAGTTCAAACTACTCTACGGAGAATTAGCACAAAATTACTGAAGTAAAGTAAGGGATATTTTAAAAACCGTTCAAACAAAAGCTTGGCAATTTTACAAATACTCTTTTATTCTTTTCTCATTCAATTGAACTGCCTTATTTGTTGCATAGTGCCTGGATCATCTTCACATGATATAGGGAAAAATGAAATGCCTCTAGGCAACTTTATTATCCAAGAGATCAGATAAGAGACTGAAACAGAATTTGCTAACAAGCGACTTTTATATTCTAACACAATGCATTCAACAAAGTTAATAAATTTGCTGATGCAAATAGCATCAGCTGTGTCTCAGTCTCTATGGAAACAATTTAAATGTATAAGCATTAATGGTGATCTCACCCACCCACCCACGTCCCTCCCTCACAGGCAGGATTTTCCCTTCTGTCTATGGCTGTCCCACCCAGTCACTTTAATGTGTGTGTGTATTTTGATGCAGCCCAGGGAACTGAAGGAAGAAACGAAATCACCTTATATTCTGCTTTTGAAATGGCACACGAGAGGTGTTTGGAATGTCAAAATAAAATGTTTTATTTAACTTGCATGAAAAAAGGTCAGATGGAATCAAGTATAGGAGATATGAGGTGAAACTATAATAAAACTGAGGTAACTTTGTATTCACATAAACACCAGATAATTTGTTGCTAACAAGCAAGTGCTTCTGCTATTCAGCAAAGTCTGTAAACTTTTGAGGAGAGAGGTCCTCTTTTCAGTTTCTGCTTATACAATCAAACATTCTGAGTTTTGCTGAGTTTAGAAGGCAGGAACAAACAACCAAGCTCCAGTTTCCTTCTTTTTATAAAAACCAGAGTCAGTCCTTTCTTTAAGAGCTATTTCCCTTCTTTGACTGGACAGGGATCACTCCTCTGAACTGGGCAGGGATCACTTCTCTTTATTAGCAGCTATCTCTTCTTCTTTTTTTGGATTGAATGGGGATCCTCTTTGATCCACCCACTCCTTTAGCCTCTTTCCCAGTCCACTGTCAGTGCTTATCTATCTCTTCTTCAACTGGTAGTTCCCAACTGTCATTCCTTTACTGAGTCTCTCAACAGAATTTCCTTCAAACAGCCTGTCACTCAGACTCTGCTAGGCATTAACTCTTGACAGTACATCACAGCAGTATTTGTATGTTCATAGGATTCAGGGTCTGTCCATGTCATCCTCTTACTGTACTACACAGTCTTGGAAGTTCAAAGTACAGTCATTCTTGATGTGCTACTTCTGTGGTCTTAAAGGTTTACCAAACTAAGGCTGCTTTCCCCTCTTTGCACTACTAGTTTACATCAAAAATCTTGTTCATATAGCATATTATCAATAGCTTTATAATGAACATATGAAGCTGCTTTACTATAACAGACTGTATAACTAAATATTGTCTATTCTGACTGGCAGTGGTTTTTCAAAATCTCAGGTACAGAAAAGTCCTTCCCAACACATGCCACCTGTATACCTTGAACCTGAGATGTGCAAACCACACAGCATCTTGCTGAGCTGCACTATTCCAAAAGAGCAAACAGGAAGATTAAAACAAAAGAATATAAGGTATTAGAAAAGCCCTGCTGGATCAGACCAATGGTCCATCTAGTCCAGCATCCTGTCTCACACTGCAGCCAACCAGTTCCTCTAGAGGGCCTACAACAGGGCAAAGAGGCTGAGAATTCAGACTTATATTCCAGATTCAATATGGATAGGACATATTTAGTACATTTTTATTTCACTGTTCTCCAAGGAGCCCAGGGCAGCTTTTACTGGTCGGTTGGTTGGTCTCTCTCTCTCTCCCTCTCTCTCCCCCCTCTCTGTTTTACCCTCTCAACAACCCTGTGGGGTAGGCTAGGCTGAGAGAAAGAGTGACTGGCCCAAGGTCCTCCAATAAGCTTTGTGGCACAGTAGGAATTTTAACCTGGATCTCTCAGATCCAGTCCAACATTAACCACTATACAAAGTTGTCTCTTAGAGAGCAGTCCTAAGCAGGTCTACTTTGAATTCTACTAAGGTCTATTCAATGGGGCTTACTCCCAGGAAAGCACTCTTAGGTTTGCACGATTAGGCACTGTTTATTGAAGCACTGTTAGATGAAGCTTGCTCTAGCATACCACTGTGCACTACTGTTTCTCTTCAGCTCTTTGATAACAGCAATAACATAACCAGCATGCTGGAAAAGCGTCCAGGCACCGGCTTAGCTAGTCACATCATCTGAGCATTATACCTTTGTTTTTTAATACTCCCAGTGCTCTTCCAAATGAGCCCCAGTTACACAATCTTCTTAGAAAAATTTCAAGTCATTAGAAGGAAGCATACCTTGTATATTTTGAAGTCATCTGTAAAATGCTGCATAACCACTTGGACCAATAAAATGTTCTCATCAGGATTACTGAGTTTAGCAGCAGGTGGGCAACCACCCTGCCAGCAGCTGCCAAGTGTTTGTTTTTTAATCCCTTACATAGATGAAAATCAAATACTTAAGGAAACTTAAAAAACAGAATGTAGCTACATTGCAATGGATACTGTTGCCTGTGGACTGTTCTTTCCCCGGTTGGGGTTGCTTTGCACAATTTAATGCTATGCTCTTCTATATGGATTATGTTAATCACCTGAACCAAGATAACCACACCAGTTTACTCCAGTTTACTACATATTATTAAACTGGTTGTAGTTATCATTACAACCAATCTAACAATTTACTTAGAAGGTAACCTCTTTTTAGTAGAACGTTCTTCTAAGTTAGCATCAACAGGCGTGTAGTTTTTAAAGTGTTTTTGTCCACAAACTATGAAGACTACCACAAATACCTGGCAAAATTCTAATCTATGTGTGAAACACAGCTCTTTAAAGCCTCAAAAATGATATTTAAGTTACAAAATTAAACCAGGGTTTTTAAAGAAAATAAAAGCAAATATCTCACAGAAGTTTTTGAAAGGCCAAAGATATTTGAATTAAGATTTAGCATGCTTTTTTCCAAACGCTCAAATTTCTATATTCCTGGGGGGAAATTAGCTGTCTTTTATGGTGTATAGCATATTTTAATTCCATCTTAATTAAACACCTCATTGCAATCCTATATAGAGTTATGCCTATTTAGATTAATTGTAATAATCAATAAGCTTATACTGGGGTAACTCTGCACAGGATGGTACTGCCAGTGTCAAAAAGTGTTGATATTTCATTAATGAAAATCTGAATACATAACTTTAGAAGAATCCCAGCTTAAATATGTGCAATAGCATGAGAAAGTTGCATGCAATTAGCATAAGAGATTAGAAATTGCCCTTACGCAGCTGGTATGCTGAGTAAATTGCTGTGGAACAAAGCAACTGCCCCTTTTTCAGAAGCACCAAAACCTTCAAAGCATTAAATGCTAACAAAAACACAAAAAGGTACAAGGTGGTCCCCGGCCCTAAGGACATCCATTTAGTCAACCTTTTTAGCTCTGGCTCCAGCCTGGTGGAACACTCACCTGAGCGAGATCAGGGCCCTGAGGGAGCTGCTTCAGTTCTGCGGGGCCTGTAAAACATAGATGTTCTGCCAGGCCTTCAGTTGAGGCAATGGGTGTCTTCTTATTTGGCCTCCCCTGCTCCACCCCGACCTGGTATGTTCAGCGACTGCTGGGGGTGACCACCCACTGCCCTTTCTTAATCTTGGGCATTTTATAGACCCATAGGAGCATGCTCCTAGGTTTATGGACCATCTTGGTATGATTAATTTGAACTGAAGAACGTTTTTATTATTTTATCTGTGTTTTTAATTGCTGTGAGCCACCCTGAGCTCTGCTTGCAGGGAAGGGTGGGATAAAAATCTAATTAATAAATAAATTTGCAAGGACCTTTTTAAAAAATGGGTGTTCTAAATAGTAAATCTTCAATATAGATAACTGTCTTTTTAGGGGTATGTTTTCCTTATAACTATCAAAATCCTTTGGAATAGGACAAGATAAGTAATCTGATGGAAAATACCTCACAACTGGCACCCAAGATATTTATAGTTACTATAATGATCAATTGTGGTTGAACCATGGAACCACAACAGGCTTTTCCAGCTCTCAAAGACCTTGATATTCAGATTTTCTGAAACATTTTCTGCCCTCACAAACCTAGGTACCTGGAGTGATCAGTTACAGTTCTGTTAAAATGCCAATTTAAATACTAGCTTCTTTCAAAGAAAGGTATTCATAGCCCAGGCTAGCCTAATCTTGTCAGATCGCAGAGGCTAAGCAGGGTCAGCCCTGGCTAGTATTTGGATAAGAATCTTAGCTGGCTAGGGAATACCAGGGTTGTGATGCAGAGGTGGGTGATGGCAAACTACCTCTGAATGTCTCTTGCCTTGAAAACCCAATGGAGCTGCCATAAGTCAGCAGTGATTTGACGGGAAAAAACAACATCAGGTAAGAGGACAGCTTCCAAATTGATTAGGCAATATACAAATAACCTTAATGCCTGTATTTCAAATAAGTAGTCAATGTGGTGCACAAGGAATTTTCCTGAAAATCTGGGTACACTGCTAAAGAGCTGTCAAATGCAGCAGTATCCACCCCAGCCGTATCACAGGTCAGCAGCTCCACCAGCATATATGCAGTGATATGTACACTTTGGTGTGACTGTTACACACAGGACAATATCTAAAACAACGTATTTGTCTCTCTCTTCCTCCTCCAGACTGCTCAAAACTCATTTAAACCTGCTTTGAAAAGTGCTTTATTAGCAAGTAAAGATATGGTACACATCCACGTGTCTTCTCAAAATGCAGACCTTCCTCGGAGAGTACACTGGCTGCATCAGAAGCATTGTGCAATCTGGTCTATTCCATTTCTCATCTCCTTTGAGTCCTATAGGACTACAAGGAGCAGCTGCCACTAAAAATAATTAACAGACTTATTCCCTCCAGGGAAGCTACCCTCCCCCCATGTCTGTGCAGTCATCAAATGGCCAACAGCACTAAGACAGCAGAATAGCTGCAATGGCAACAGTGTCTGCCTGCCTGACTGGAGAGAGACTGTCATCAAAGGCAGCTTTACTACCTGTTCTGCCCCCCCCCCCAACTCCAGGAAGCATAAAGGAGAGTTGCTTCTTGGGAGGAAGGAAGTGGCTGCCTCAGAAGAGACTGCTGCCATCAAGGACAGAGCAGACACCACCTGCTCTGCCTGTCCCTTCAGGGCTTGCCAAATCCCAGGCACCAGGTTGCCATGGCACCCAGAACTTTCAGTGGTGCCTAGTAGTTTTAGCAATTATTGTATTGTAGTGCTTCTCAAAGAGAAGTACAAAGCTTATTTATCATTTCCTATCAGAATATGCTTATGTTGTCTAGCATAAAAATACATGTGCATGATGTTCTTGTCATTGCTTTTTTATATGTTAACTTTACATGAGAGCCAGCTCAGATTCATAACATTTCTAAAGGTATACATGGGGCCCAAGCCACTTAAAGCTTTAAAGATCAATAGGAGCATTGCCCACAAATTCAGAAGGCAGCCAGTATAGCCAAGCAGGCACTGACATAATGCAGTTCCTACATCCAACATCCTGCAAGATGTATTAAACGAATTTTTACCGTCATGGGACTTTCAACAAAACGCTTAAACTATTTATTGAAACATTGGCAACCTTCCTCTCTTATCATACAAAGGAAACTCAAGGTAACTTACAACACTAAATACATAAACTGTGTGTTATGTTGCAATATCACATCCATTTAATGGCTCACCTTATAGGCTGAGGGTCTATTGGACAATCCAGAAGAACTATTGCTCCAAATAAGGGAATAATTAGAGATACAGCCAGTGTCATGAATGTCATACGGAAGATCTTATTGCTGTATGTACTGTAACAAAAATACAAAACAGAAGTCAGCACCTAATAGCTACAGAAGGATCTTCAGAATCTGGTTTGCCCTCAACAGAAGAAAATCAAGGCATTTCTACAGTGTAAAGGAAACAAAAATCTGTTAATAAGAATAAAACTATACAAGCAATGTTAGGTGAAGTATTTTATGAATGTATAACAATCTTAATGGTGTAAGCATGTTGTCACGGATATGGCCAGAAATACGGAGGAACGGTTACTGGACTTGAGCAAAAAAAAAAAAAGATCATAAGAGCATGTTGTGGCACAGCAACTAGCCAGCATGCCAAGAGAGGAGTCTAGAGACTCAGAACAGAATATCCTTGAAGAGAAGACGACAAAGTAACATAATTATATGGCCTTGTGTAAATTACAAGCCATCTAACCCATTACCAATAGATACCATTTGTTGAGGCCCATGTGTCAAAGCATCTGAGAACTGTAAGAATGTCCAACTTTTGTGAAGTGAAAACAAGGTTCAAGGATGGAACTACTGATGAGGTCCAAAAGATATTCATATGTATGAAAAACTTCTAACAGCTATTTTAAAGCAGACTTTGTTAAAAAGTAGCAAGGATGAAATAACATTTTTATATATTCCAAGAAGTTATGAGATAATGAATTAGCCAAGAAGCACACCCTTATCAAGTGGGACAGTTAGAAGAAGAAGAGATTGGATTTATACCCCACCCTTCACTCGGAGTCTCAGAGCGGCTTAAAAACTCCTTTCCCTTCCCCTCCCCACAACAGACACCCTGTGAGGTAAGTGAGGCTGAGAGAGCTCTGACAGAAACTGCTCTTTTTAAAGAACAACTGTGCCAGAACTATGGCTTGCCCAAGGTCATCCAGCAGGTACAAGTGGAGGAGTGGGGAATCAAACCCAGTTCTCCCAGATTAGAGTCTGCGCACTTAACCACTACACAAAACTGATGTAGATATTATTAGATGATTTTAAAATCCTATAAATACAGAACTTTCGCAGTGATGTTCAACATGCTCTATTCTCCACTATGTCCTGGTCCTGACAATTTTAATATTATTTTTAATCTTGTGTTTTTACTATAACATTTATTATTATTATTTACTATAATATTTATTACTGCTCGGGCAGCTATCATTATATTGTTATGGCCTTTGGCCTCATGCAATAAAATTCTACTTACCTACTGATTCTCATAAGGGGCTCTGTGCCTGTTACCTCCTTACTTTAGGGCTAAGAAAGTTTTATGGACTCATGTAATTGCTCTCCTTTAATTATCTATGTAACAATGATGGCTGGTATAATGTTTTGTGGATTTAGTCTATGTTAAGAACACAGTAGTTATGCTTTAATAAAAAGCTTAAAATGAAAGCAGAAATTCTCTAATAGTATTTACTTGTGTACTACACCCAGAACAAATCTATAGCGTTACTGAGGTGTACTTCTGAGTAGGAGTTAAGTGATCTGGTATAGGGAAGCTAAATTTTAATTGTATTTACTATAAATGATGTTACCTGCCCTGAGCCCATTCGCAGTATGGGCAGGATATAAATCCAAACCAACAAACTATACACCTAGCGTTTCTTAAGTGCACACCTATATCTGAATCAGTCCTGACCAGAATCATTCAGAATAGTGTATCAATTACGATCAAGGTATATCTTCATTTTTCCAGAGAAGCATGAATTATGAACTCAAACATGATCACTATTCCATAAACTTGAGGGGCAAATCCTTACAAGTAATGCATTTAATTCTGAAACTACCTTTCCAGACTTATAATAGTAATTACAGCAGTAACATGTCATAGCCTTCCAGGGCCTGTGCCAGTTTGAAGTGCAGATGGGAAGTGTACATTCAAATGCTTCCTAATTTAAAAACCCACAAAGAAACTAGTATTCTAATCCAGCTCCTCTGCCAAATATATTAGCTTTCGATTAGCAGGGTTGTTTTTTTTTTAAGTATGGGGGTTTTAAATCAAACAATAATCAACAATCATTCTGAAGTGTTGCAGCCAGAAAATGGTTTAACCTTTTGATCAACTCTAAATCTTTCACTTTAGATACCAGGATGCAAACAAGTTACTCTGTTACACAAATCTGTCAAGCCCCCTTCAACATAGTGTGTTGGCTCCAGCACTGAGTTCCCACTTGCACTAGAGTTCCAGTGCAAGTGGAAATACAAGGAAAAGGCCACAGTGCTCACTGTATCTCCACTTACACAAGATCTTGTGCAATCAATTTTCTGGGCCCTACAACATATGCAGTACTCTCTATTGAACACAGTACTTACTGTTGGCATGACAGTTATTTTTCTTGAATCCCAAGAAAAACATTCAGGCTGGTGTCTGATTTGAGCAAAAACTCATTTTAAATACTAGATGGCCTATATAAGAAGTCTCCATGTTTCTTGTAATATTAAGGAAGTCCCCATCCCCCACATATTTCTTAAAGTAATAGCGTGAAGACGAGGTGGAGTTTAGCGATCTGTTGCTCAAATATGTGCCAATGAACAGCACAAAGTGTGAAGACATAGCAGATCAGCCAGCTATTTTGCAAGCAGTATGTTTACATAATGTACGCCTCAGGAGGCTCTCACATTCTTACTACTTTTTCTCTTCAGTACATAATCACCAAGGTGTATCATGAAGACATCTGTTTTATTTGTGGGTGGCATAAATATGCATTAACCATAGGATCAGGGCATACATGCAATTACTCAGGCATATAGCTGCTCTACTCCCTAACTAGAAGCTATCTCAGGCTACTATCACCCATGAAGAAGCCCCGACTCATCTTCTCTACCAGGTGGAACCACAGTGGTGCAATAGTTAGGGTATTAAACTAGGATCTGAGAGACTCAAGTTCAAACCACTGTGACATGGAAACGTGCTAGGTGATCTTGGGCCAGTCAAACACTCAGCCTAATCTATCTCTTAGGATTATTGTGAGGATAAAATGGAGGAGAAGAGAATGATGTAAGTCACTTTGGTCCCCCTGGGGAGACAGACAAGGTATAAATGAAGTAAATAAACATCCTCTTGATCCAGAAAGGAGTATTGTAGGAAATGAAACTAAGAAAAAGGGAAAATAACTTTTAAAAATGTGACACTAACTGCCAAGAATGCAGCTATCCAGCTTTATTCTTATACCATAAAGAATTAATATTATATGTTTAGGACTGTAATATTTACTCCTAGTTTAAAATCTGGCCTCAAGAAAGTCGATTCCAAATTCTTTCAGGCTGTAAAGGGCTGATGGCTCCCATGTGTATATACAAAATCTACTAAACAAATTTAGAGTCCAATGGGGCCTTTGAAACCAACAGAAGTTTATTCAAGGTATGAGCCTTTGTGTGCGTGCACAGTTTTTCAAATACATTGGAATGGTAAGGTAAGGTTCAAATTTATAGACAGGGACTGAACAGCAAATTAACATCTAAGATGTTGAAGATATACGTCTAAAATAACAAGCTAAGGTTATAAGGACAACAGTTGTAAAGCAATAAATATGTCAGCTTGGCAGATTGTCTAAAGGTGTCTGTTCTAACTGTGGGAAGCAAACTGAGAATCTCTATTGCCTCCTCCCAGGAGTGGAGATCACTTAACAGCACTTTTTGAGGTGGATGCAGTGTCACTGAGACTCTAAATTTGTCCTACTGCTTCAGACCAACAGACCACCGGATCTATCTACTAAACAAAGACACTCAGTAATATTTATTTAAAAAAGCATTTTATGCCACCTTTACACCCAAAGTAGGGGCCCCAATACAGGAAACACACACACATATATATGTATAAAACCTTATATATATAAGGTTAACACACACACACACATAGATAGAACCTTAGCAGGAAAGGAAATAAAGAGGAAATGTCAAAGAAAACAAAAAAGTACTGATCCACCAGCAGAACACAACAAAAGAGGGGGACAGATCAATCTCTCTGGGGAGAGAATTCCAGAATTTTGGTGCCACGACCAAGAAGGCTCTTTCTTAGGTTGCTACCCAAGATGTAACCTCAGATTGGGGGGGACACCTAATATATATAACCTGTCCATCTAAGATTATTCTTCATTAAATTGTAAGTTGCCACACAAGTTTTTCTTTCCTTCATATTCCTGGCAAAGCACTGAGATTCTGCAGCAGAAAAGGGCATTTAAATTTAACCAGTGATCAGTTTTATTTTTAAAAGATCAGTTTACACATTATGGTAACAGTCGGACTCGACTGTGTGACTGAACAACAAAAAGCTGTGAGTCAATACAAGATCGCCCAGTCACCAGAATAAAAGCTGCCATTTAAGAAGGCTGAAAAACCCTCAAGCTAATCAAATCGAAATTACCAGAGCTCCCCAAAAATCTTCATAATGAAAGAAAGCTGTCAACCAACATGTACTACACACTTATTCAGGCTTACAACACAGAGAATGACACCTCTGCAAGTCAGGTGGATCCAGCCATGTTAGTCTGAAGCAGCAGAACAAAGTTTGAGTCCAGTGGCAAGTATCACGGTTACGATTATATTAATGTACTTTGTTTACAGACATTTGCTATAACTCTCTGACAGTAGTTGTACATAAATCTATCACTTCCCTGAATATATCTGGGACTAAAAGATGTCATTTTGACTTCCCCCCCCTGTTGTCATTTTACTGCCCTCACTGCAGGTACTGTTAGATTTTACTGCTTTTACACACTGCCTGCCATTTACAATGTCACCAATGTATCCGGCATAATTAGCAGAAAAATGCAGGCAGTCCCTTGCTTTCTCGAAACATGCAGTGTAAGTTTTGGGAGTGGGAGGATGAGAAAGACGCAAGGGTAGCCAGGAATGGATGTGACCAACTGCAGCAACACATCCTTAGGCTGTCTGCCTCAGGAACCTCCAGAGCCGAAATACGGCAGTCATAATGTCTAAGGGGGAGGCCTGGTATACAAGGCTTAAGCCGGGAGGGTGTCTTGGGGGAACAGTGAAGTATTTCTCCTCCCCCCTCCCCAGGCGACCAGAGCAGCCTTTCAGACACCGTCCCCGCAGGATAACACCATCCACAGGAAGGAAGGAAGGAAGGAAGGAAGGAAGGAAGGAAGGAAGGAAGGAAGGAAGGGCCTCCCCATGCCTCGCACCGCAGCCAGCCACGAGTCGCTCCCCCCTCCCGCTCATCTCCAGGCTGCCCTTTAACGAGTGGAAGGGGGGGGGGTGTCTCTCCTTCAGGAACAGAGACAGGCACCCCCGTGCTCTTCCCCTCCAGGGGCAGCACCGGGGAGGGGGAATCAACGCCGCGAGGAAGACGACTCCACACATACCTGCCGCCCTTGGTTCCCTGGGCCGCGTTGTCCTCGGTGATCACCTGCGGACGGAGAGGCCGCCGCTGCCGCAGGCCCTCAGCCTCATTCATGTTGCCCGGACGCCCCCTCGGTGTGACAGCCAAGAAGCGCGCCTGCCCGCCGCCGCCGCACAAGCCTCCTCCACTCTTCCATGGAGCCCCGCCCCCTCCCCATGCTTGGCCAACGGTCGCCCAAAGGCCCCGCCCCCTTCCCTGAACTCCGCCAACGGCCGCTACAGAGGAGGGCCCCCAGCCACGCTCTCGCCCAACCGACGGCGACTCCGGAGCCCCACCCCCTCCTCAAGGGCGATCCAATTAGCGCTGCCGAGCACCACCCGCTCTTAGAGCACCCAACCGCTGCCCACAGAGTCAAACCCCACCCTTTATGATTGCCCAAACACAGCCTCTGCCAAGCCATTGCTCCATCACTCTGCGGGCGGTGACCGGGGAAAGCCCCAGTGTCAGGCCTTCCTTCTCCGGACTGTCATCTAGACTCCTCGCCGCTCCTATTACAAAATACCGTCCTCTTCTTCCCGCATGTCTATCTCCTTCTCGTCAAAGCCGAAGAAAGTCCTCAGACAAGCCACGCCCCTTTCGTCTACTTTAAAATAACCGCTTCTTATTGTCCAATCGGCGTCGGAGGTGCCTGCTTGGAGTGGCGCCAAGAAAATGGAACTTCTCTTTCACATGGGAGACAGCGCGGCTTGCGCGAGGGCTGATTGTTGGTTGCTTTAGTTCTGGAAGTTAAATATTATGAGGGCAGGCCGCATTCGCTCCACGTTTTCTCAACTGGGAGGGGAAAGTGCAGGTCAAAACCACATCCAAATACTTCGGGGCAATGCCGTACTGACTGCAGAGTCACCCCTGAACTGCCATAAATCTATGCAGAAGATACCTTAAAAGCCGATGGTCAAAGGAAGTGAAAGCAGCATGCAATGCAGAGGGTAATTTCTATTCCAGCGAGGGTTTCGTAAAACAGAGGGAAAAGCCAATGCAGAATCAGCCTAGGTCAATGAGATTTGCCCCAGGAAGAGGGCGTATTAAAACGGACAGAGAATGACAGATGGACTCGGAACAGCAAGAGGGAGCCAGTAAAATTCCAAGCAGGCATAGTTAGTAATTTCAGAGTAATTTCCACAAAACAATGGGATGCCCTCCCTACCAAGCAAGGCTCCAAGAGCTATCAGGGTTTCGTCTTCTGTTCTCCTTATGGCGCAGACTTCCCCCCAATACAAACATCCTACGGGAATACATGGTATAATGTACCTAGGCTGCGGTCACACGAAGCAGTAGCCACGCTACAGAGACGGAAGATAGGTGGATTTTCCAGCACGATCAAACCGCAACATCTGGGAAGCATAGAGTTCCCGTCGCTAACCCGAGGCTTCCCGCCGAAGATGCACCATAAAAAAACGCAGGGCAAGGGTGGGCGTCTGATCACGTTTCCGGTGGTAGCTCGTGGCATCCGGCGCCCGCCCATGTCCCGTCACGAAAAGGTTTTTTTCCCAAGTCTCCACGGGATGCGCACAAGCACCCAACGGTGCATGCGCACACTTCGGTTAAAAAAAAAAACACAACCCCCGCCGCGCTGCTTTGCCGCGCCGCAGGATTGACATATGATCGGCACCTCCCCCCAAACCACGGGACTTCAGCTGGACGTTTGATCCGGCGGCTGCACGGTAGTTCACTCCGGGGCAAACAGCCACGCCTCCCCCCCCCCGGTGATATCCGGCCCATGTGACCGGGGCCCCAGCTCCGTGGGGCTCTGAGGTGAGGTAACAGGGAATTTTGTTCCCTCTCCTGACGGACACCCTTCTAGTGGGGGTTTTCCCCCTTAGGATTTATGGGTCATAAATAAATGGAGCATGGAAATTTTGTTCTCACAATTAGATTTGGCACCTTGTTTGTTTAAAATACATTTCTCCCACTTCCTTGTTCTTTTTTCCCCAAGAAACCTCTTATGAAAACTCATTTGATATTCATCTTAAACCCCCTTGAGCGTTTTGTAATTTCATTGTGGGCAGAATGCTTTCAGTCTGACTGCATAACCCAAGCCTGAGTGTTGTGTCAGCACACTTCTCTCTGTATAAACTGGTGGAACTAATGCTGGCAGTAGACAAGTCCTCCCATTCGCTGGGCTTGCCAACTTTTTCCTGGCTAGGTTCCTGTGTTTTTAAACACTACTTGACAAGCAGGAGCTGAATCTTTCGCTCACATACTTTCCCTAGGGATGGGACATTTTTTGCCTGCTAAATTTTTTTTGGGGGGGCATCATGCAGCTCTTAAAGGCACAGGAGAAAAAAGTTTAATTACTCTCTGTTGTAGTAGGAAAGTGTAGTAGGAAAGTGACTCAGAGTTCCCTGGAAAACACACTGGTACCCCACCACCATCGCTCATAACTTACTGAGAACATCTAGATTGCCTGGTAAATTTTTTTTTGGGGGGGGGGGGCATCATGCAGCTCTTAAAGGCACAGGAGAAAAAAGTTTAATTACTCTCTGTTGTAGTAGGAAAGTGACTCAGAGTTCCCTGGAAAACACACTGGTACCCCACCACCATCGCTCATAACTTACTGAGAACATCTAGACTGATCCACTGAGAAGGCACTGTCCTAGCACAGTACTTGAGTAAAAACAAAGTGACGGGGTAGGAATCCTAGAAAATATCACCCAGGGGTGTCAAACGTAAGGCCCAGGGGCCAGAACTGGCCCAACCAGGGCTGTTATCCAGCCTAGGAGCAACTGGTGTGACAGAGGGAACAGGAGGCTTCTGAGGGGGGGGAGCAGGCAGAGTCACTCTGATTGTGGCTTCAGCATGGTTGGAACACCTTGACTGCAGCAGTCAAGCAGAACCCTTTCACTTCAGTGGCAGCCTCACTGGTAAGTTGGGAGCTGCCACAGCCACATTAATTCCAGCTCAGGGTTCCAAGGCAAGGTCATATACCTCTCTGCTCGCCTGCAGCTCCAGGGATGCTGTCCCAGATGGCCGCAGGGATCAGGATTTGCAGCAGGGTGCAGACGATCTGCTGGTGACCAGCACTGCTGTTTATGCGGCAGCTGTGCTTTGGCCCATGGGGGGCATTCTTTAGCAGTTTCTTCCACACATAGAGGACCTAGTCCTGCCACCAAGTACATTATTCAGTAGCCAGGTCTCTCTCCCCCACGGAACACCTGGCTGCCTTCAGTTGTATCACAAACCAAAAAGGGATCACAGGTATCCAACAGGAAAAACAACACACAAACAAACCCTGTAATATGAATGACATTTAGTAAGAATCATATTGCTTTGTAAACGTATAAAATTACAAAAATTGTGCAACATTCTCAAATTTACAATATTGTAAAAAAGTCCAACATTCTCAATGAGCACCTGGTTATAAGCCCATTTCAACAGCAGTCTTCTTCAAGAGTAATCCCATATTATAAGGAGGTGTCATCTTCTTAATCCAGTTCAATATATTAATAGGAGTAAACATCTTTATTTACTTCAAAATGTCGTGGAAAAAACCATGGTAAATGAAAAGCAACATGAAGCTGAATGGAATATAATTATTTTAAACTTTTAATTATTTAATCTATAGAACTTACTTCTGGTGCCATTATAAGTGCTTATTCTGGGAGCAAGCCAAGCCTCTCTAGGTGCAAAAAGCCTCCTGGATTCAGTTTGTTGCAGAGAGCATTTGCCAGCCATTTGAAAACTGAAGGCTTCTAGCCGGGGAGAATAATAGGACTGGTTTGCTACTACTATAGTGTTCATGGAGAGCATCACCCACCAAAATTGAGGAGGCTTTTTGCTATTACGTTGCACTATGTTTGTAAATTTATAAAGTTTAAAAAGCAGTATGATTCTTACTAAATGTCATTCATATCACAGGGTTTGTTTGTGTGTTGTTTTTCCTGTTGGATACCTGTGATCCTTTCTTGGTTTGTGATTTCAACATCTATAAGTTTGAATTCTAGCTTCCTTTCCAATGTACTTGACAAAGTGTGCATGCACACAAAAGCTCATACCTTGAATAAACCTTTGTTGGTCTTAAAGGTGCCCTCACTGGACTCTAAATTTGTTCTAAAGAACCTTGTGGTACTGGAAGACCCAGGCATAAGCGTCCATGGACCCGATGTGCCTTCACCCGATGTGCCTTGTCCGTGGCTGACAAAGGAAAAGTGTTGTGGAAAATAATATAAAGAGTAGGGTCAAAATGCCATGGAATGCAAGAAGTTCCATCTGTGGCATCTCTGTGCAAAGATGACCACAGTGATCATTCATAGTGGCAGTATCAAGGGATAACATAATCTTCATAGATGTGCTAAAATAATTTCGCATCTGTAATGTGAAGAAAACTACTGCCCCAACCTGTCCGCATATTTGTGTCTCATTGGGTAACTCTTGAATTTAAACAGTAGGCTAAGTATCTGGGGAAAATACTTGCAGTTAGGGATAAAGCGAATTTACTAGGTTTGAGGTGGCTGTTCTATAATAATAATAATAATAATAATAATAATAATTTCGATTTATTGGTCGCTCTTTCCTACACACCTGTGGGCTCAGAGCGATTTACAGTTACTCTCTGAGAATTGGACTAACAATATTCGTGGGGGATAGGAAAGACAACATACAGCATTTTTAATTACACACACATTGCAGCTAGCCGGGGCTTCATCTGCGGGCTGGACCAGTCGTGTTCCGACGACATGTATTCTTGTCGGCTGGCTGATTTATTTAGATTTCTATCCCACCCTCCCCGAAGGCTCAGGGAGGCTAACAGGGCAAAGTGCCAAATAAAACGATAAAACAATACAAAATGTTAAATTACATAACAATTAATAAACAGTTAACATCACAAAACATTTTTGGTGCTCCTCTATTCCAGTACTAGACACTTGTCAATTCAAGTAGAATTTCCCGGCCTTCCCCACACAGCTGGGTTTGCCTTGACATCTGACATTCCGTCCGAAAGGACACACTACTAGTTAACAGACCAGAGCCTGCCAGAGAGACACAAGACGTCCCCCCTCCCCCTCCCCCAGTTATCTGCAGTGGTGAGAAAAAGGGAGCAACAAAAGGATTTTGAACTACTGCCAATACACACAACAGGGAAAATGTCTTCAACGTTCTTTAGATTAGCCGCTCCCAGCTCTGAGGTGAGGGACCTGCGTGGTTGAGTGTTCCCCTTTATGCACGGCCAGAGGAATGAAGAAGGGCTTCAGCCGTGCAGTATTTAAACATACAACACCCCCTCAAGCCCATAGATGTACAGCCGAGAAACAGTGTTACCATCTGAGGAGACGTTCTTCTGGACAGCTTGCCCTCCTCTATTCTTTGATGATTGGCCGATATTGGGTGCACACTGGGGCACACTGCCGGCAGACGAGACGGTGATCATTTTTACCGCTTGCACACTGAGGCCCATAACTTCTCTTGAGCAGTGTCAGATGATGACTGACAAAGACGTAAGAACCGCACTTCATTCTGCAGGTATTTCATTTGGGGTTTTGTTTTTTTGCAGAGACAAAGGCAACAGACCCGCTTCATCTTGGGGAATGAGTGGGATGTCTTTGGCTTAACTTTGCTCTTCTTGAGCTTGGGAGTCTCCAACACCTGATCGTCTTCCCTTTTTCGCTTCTTGGCTATCAGGCCTCCGTTCATCGCCCCTTCGTCCAAAGTGTTCTCATGGTGCTTTGTGACACTAGCGCCGCTGGAAGGCTTCACGGAAGGACTTTTCCCTCCATGAGCAGGCTTCAATGGAACTTCTTCCTCTGAGCTGTCAGAATCTGAGCTATCAGAGGAGCTCTCCACTCGCTTCATCTGTGCTGGTTTAGCCATCCCTTTTGCTGCAAAAGGCTTGGCAGAGCGCTTCATTGGTGCCTTCTTTTCTTCCTCCTCAGAGCTGGAATCCGAATCACTGTCTGAGGAAGACTCTCCGTTTTGGGTGACAGCAGCAGATTTGGGGTGAGATGGTTGTTTAGCCACAGGCTGTTCAGCTTTCTCCTCTTCCTCCTCCTCTTCCTCCTCCTCTTCCTCCTCCTCCTCCGACAATTGCTCCTTTTTACCACTGCTGTCAATCTTTTTACAAGCAACACCTGGTCCTTTGCCTTTCTTTGCTTCTAGGGTCAAAGGGGGTGGCACAGCACTGTACTGGCCAAGCTTGAGCTTTGAGGCTGGCTTTTCATCTCCTGAACTGTCAGAAGAATCCTCTTACACAGGCACAAAAGTGCGATAAAAATACAACAAGTTAAAACAATTAAGGCACAAGTGCAGTAAAAGTCAACAGTTAAAACAGTTTAGGCAAAAATGCACATCTCACAGGATACATAATGACTACAATACTTACTCCCTATTGCATATCCCAACGGTGTAAAAAAAGGGGGGGTTTCCATGGGCCATGATATTTCAGCTAGCCAGTCAGCCCGACGTGGCAGAACTGCTCTGCAGTCGCACAGTGGTGGTAGTGGCAGCGGCGGCTCCTACTCAAAAGCCTGGCGGAAGAGCTCCATCTTGCAGGCCCTGCAGAACTGTACCAGCTCCCGCAGGGCCCTGATCTCCTCTGGGAGCTCATTCTACCAGGTAGGAGCCGCCACCGAAAAGGACCTAGCCCTTGTGGCCGCATGCCTGGCCTCCTTGGGGCCTGGGGTCACTAGGCGGTGTTGTGACCCCGACCGAAGTGCTCTTTGGGGCCTGTGTGGGGAAAGGCGGTCCCTCAGGTATGCCAGACCCTGGCCATGTAGGGCTTTAAAGATAAGCACCAGCACTTTGAAGCGAATCCGGAATGCTATAGGCAGCCAGTGCAGCGCTTTCAGCACAGGTTGGATGTGGTCCCATCTAGAGGCACC